GCCAGTCCCTGCCTGCCCTCTGGTGGACAGTCTATGAAATAGGCCTACAGTTGGGCAACAAGCAAGTTACTGTGGCAGAGGAAGGCAAGCTGGGGCTCCCTAGCACTACTGTGGAAGTGTGTGTTTACTTGTCTGTGCCTCTCATCTTTCCCTTCCTTGCACAGTCTGTTTGCCTGTATAAACTGACAGACTGACACATCACCAGGGCTTGATTCTAGGCTTAAATATTTTGAAGTCAATTTTTCAAAAGTTAGCCCTGCTGGTATGGCTCAGTGGATTGAGTGCCAGCCTGCAGACTGAAAGGTCACTGGTTCGATTCCCAGTCAGGGTACATGCCTGGGTTGCCAGCCTGGTCCCCAGTTGGGGGTGTGTGAGAGGCAACCGATTGATGTATTTTTCATATATTGATGTTTCTCGCCCTCTCTTTCTCCCTCCCTTCCCCTCTGTCTAAAAAGTAAATAAATAAAAGCTTAAAAAAAAAGTTAAACTTGGCCCTAGCCCATGTGGCTCAGTTGGTTGGAGTGTCCGTCCTCCCACACACTGAATGGTTGCAGGTTTGATTCCTAGTTAGGGCACATACCTAAGCTATGGGGTTTGATCCCCAGGTGAGGCGCATATGGGAGGCAACCAATTGATATTTCTTTCTCACATTGATGTTTCTCTCTCTTCCTCTGTCTCCAATCAATAAATGTATTTTTAAAATTTAAAGTTAAATTTCTGTGAAAACTCACTTTATAGTGAGCTTTTAAGTACAGTAAATGAAATGGTGACAAAATGAGTTTAAAAACAATGAAGGCATCTCAAATATTGCATAATTATTTAAGCGAAAAAATAGGTTAAAATTCAGTTAATGGAATCATTTCTGTTTTGAAAGAAACTCAGTAACGGCAATTTTTAAAAATTTCATTGATGATAAATGTAGCATTTTTATTTTATTTACTTACTTTTAGAGAGGGGGGAGGGAGAAAAGCATCAATGCATGGGAGATGCATCGATGGCTTGCCTATTCACACCCTTAACTGGGGACCAGGCAGGCAACCCAGGCATGTGACCTGACTGGGAATGGAACTGGCAACCTTTCCGTCTGTAGGCTGGTACTCAGTCCACTGAGCCACACAGAGCCAGGGCAATTGTAGCATTTTTAGGGATGGAGCACAATTTAATCTTTTCTCTCTACTGGGGGCCAATCTGTTCTTCCTGCAGCTGGGTTGCTTTAACCCTTCTTAACTCTAGGAAGTTTAGTTGCTATGTTCTATACCTCCGAGGAGGGTGGAGGACTGTTCTTTTAAGAACAGGTGAGGACTGTTCTTTTAAGACTAGTAATAGTAATTGTGGCTAATGTGGAGCATTTCAATATACTGTGAACTGTATTTTTATATATATATAACCTCATTTAATCCTCACAGTAATTTCATGAATTATAGAGAGTTGTTACCCCATCTGACACAGGAGAAACTGAAACTTATGGAGGTAAAGAAGTTGTTCAAAGTCACTTAACTGATGAGTGGAAGAGGTAGGGCTTGAACCCAGGCAGCCTGTCCTCAGAGCCAGTGTACTTACCCAGTGCCTAGATGGGTGGCCCCTTATGCACTCCTGGAAGGCCAAGTCTGGAAGACCATTCCAGGAGAGGACAAAGGGGTGCTTGGCAGATAGTCCTCCGAGGATGCTCTTGGGGGAGTATTCCTCTACCCCTGTAACTCAGGCCTTGGTACACTGGGGGTCCAGGGTTGGGGAGATGGCTGGGAGGGGGGCCTGCCTCACCTCAGTCCCAGTCACCTAGTCTACAGCATGTTCTGTGTGCTGTTATGTATCCAGCACTGTTCTGGAAACTTCGGAGATGACAGTGATATTGTAGATGGCATCCCTATCCACAAGACTATTGCAGTTTACATGAGAGAGTGGATGGGCGGTTCTGGGGTGGGGGTGGATGATCATGAATGTTTTCTAAAGTGCTTTACTTTTTCTGTGCTTCCCTGATTATATTTTTATATTTTTTCTGTGCTTCCCTGATTATATATTTTTTTTCAGGAAGTTCATAAGGATGTTCAAACCATTCCCAAGTCTGAATTGGCTCTCAAAAAAGGAATTGCTGGGGGATGGGAGGAGAGGAAATGGAATGAAGGTGGTCAGATGTGCAAGCTTCCAGTTATAAGATAAACATGTTGAACGGATGTGATGCATGGCATGATGACTGGTTAACACTGCTGTGTGGATTATTTGAAAGCTATTAAAAGATCTTGAGTTCTCATCATGAGGAAAAAACTTTTTATTCACAAAAGGTGATGGGTGTTAGCTAAACTTACTGTGGTAATCATTTCAATACATGTAACTCAGATCATTATGCTGTACACCTTAAATTTACACAGTGCTGGATGTCAGTGACATCTCAATAAAGCTGGAAAAAAGGAGAAGAATCACTTTCCTCACTGACATTGGCCTCCAGCTTGGCTGCCTTCCCTCTTAGTGTTCGCAGCAGCATTCCCCATCTTACACGAGTGTGCTCGTTTCTGGGGCCCTTCACTCTCACAGAATTCTCAGGCCCCACAGGGGCGCTAGAAGAGTTTGTGAGCAGCACTGGTGCGCAGAACTTGCCCCGCCCCACCCTGGGCCCTCTCTGCTGCTTGCTGCCTGGACCGAGGAGAGATGTGTCCAGCTCAGACCCTCTGCCTGCCGAGTGGGCTGGGAGGAGGAGCAGGATCTCCTGTGTCCCAGCCAAACCCGTTTCCAGCCACAATTACCTGGTTTCGATTCCAGCCCCGCTTGACCAGGCGTCACATGCCCCCCTCCCACACCCTTCATGTGGCCGCAGACTGCGTGGCTGGTGGGGCCAGCAGCAAAACAACAAGGTGTCTGGGACTCTGACCGTCATCTGGTCTTTGTGTTGTCCTTTTGTGACTAGGTCACCCTCCAACGGGTGCTAACATCGAATGTGTATTGCCAGAAAGGTGAGAGATATGTCACGCTTACCCAGAGGTGTGCTGCTGGACGCTTACAACCAGCTCTCAAAATAAAGCCCCGGCTTCATGTGTTTGTCAGTGTCTGAGGTGTGAACACTCCTGATCGCAGCCGCACAGTGTCGCCGTGTGCAGAGCGCAGAGGAGGCGGGCGGCAGCACATCTGTGCTTTGTGTTCCTGTGGACAAGGCAGCAGTGTCCGCAGTCTCAAGGGCAGAGCAAAGTGTGTTAGAATAAGTAGGAAGTATGTTTTGACTAGTTTAGTAGTACCTTTGTTTTTAATGTAATTTATTGTAAGTTTATAAACTTTAATTTTCAATAATGGCTGTATGTAACAACTGGTTCACAGACTTCCTGAAAATGTAACAATTATCTCTAGCAAGCTACTGTGAGTGGGCTCCATCCAGCCCATTACTGCTCTTACTCTTCCTCTGTTTCAGAAAACATTGCTATGGGGAAGGAATTTTCATGTAGGGTGGGGAGCCTAGAGAGCCATGGGAAAGGGAAGACCCAGCAGTAGCTCCCTGTGTGGGGAAGGAAGCGGGGGCTATGCACTGGGCCCCAGGCACCTGCCCTGTTTGTCTGGCGGCCCGCTGGCCTGCCACACACTGCAGGGCAGCGTCCAGACCCCGGCAAAGCGCAGCCGTGAGCTTCCGCGCCTTCGAGAACTCCTTTCTGTAGGTTGCTTGAACATTGCCTCATGAGAGAGGCCTTTACTGTGTCCCCTGACTTCCTTCCCCACACAGGGGAGATCCCCAAGACGATCCCCACGATACACTCTTAGTCCTGTAATCCCAGAGGCACTCTCCACAAATGGCCACCACCACATTCATGTGTGGGTTTCGCTGTTTGCTGCCATCTCTTAGAGACAGGGGCGTCCAACCTGCAGGCCACATGCTGCCCGGGATGGCCGTGAATGCAGCCCAACACAAAGTCGTCGATTTACTCAAAAACTTTTTTTTTTTTTTTTGCTTATCAGTCTTCGTTCATGTTGTGTATTTAATGTGCAGCCCAAGACAACTCTTCCATTGTGGCCCAGAGACACCAAAAGGTTGGACACCCCTACGGGGGATGGAAGCTCTGGGGCGAGACCGCCCAGTACCTGGTGGGCGACCAGCACCCAGCGGGCACTCAGTCAAAGTCCTTAGAGAGGGGAGAAGACGGCCAGGGGAGTCCATCTAACTTACTTGGTTCCTTTGTCTGAGAGGAACAACCACTGGGAGTGTCCCGAGTGCCTTTGGATACAAGGGATGTATCAATGAGGTGTGCTTAGCTGCCAGGAACAGAGAGCTATTTTAAATTACTTGAACCATAAGGAAAATCCATTTCTTCACTGACAGGAAGCCCCAAGGTAGGGTGGCTCCAGGTGCTGTTTTCAGCAGTTTGACAGTATGTTCAGCGACCCCAGTTCTTCCCTCTTTCTGCTCAGCCTCCTTAGGGATAAACGGCCCTCAGGCCAGACCCTCTGTGGTTGTGAGGACTTGGCATCACCTGGACATAGTCCCATCCTGTGGGAAGGGCATCAGTTCCTTCCTGTGTTGCTCTTTAGAAACAAGGGAAGTTCTCACAGAGGCCACATGCCTTCTAATCCAGCCTTGAAAGGGGACTGCAATGGCCAAGGTTCTCATGGTATGGTGCCCATTCCGGCAAAACAGGCATCACTGGGGAGCTAGTTAGACAATGTTGGGATGAGGCTGAGCAACCTGTTTTAAAAAGCCCTCCTGGTGATTTGATGCTCAGTGAAGTTATGGGAACCACACAATGTGGCTGGACTAATTGTGACTCACCCTTCGGGGGAAATGCCTGAACTCCCCCACTGCGGGGGACTCTGCAGAGGGGAAGCGGGGAGACTGGTGAAGACCAGGGCAGGTGAGCCCTCGGCAGTGACTGACTGGCATTGCAGATGGCACTGCTTCTGACCAGGGCGGTGAAGACAAGGCCCAGAGTCCCGTGATGGCGGGCAGTGGTGCCCCAGCAAAAGTTGATGACTGATGACTGGCCATGTGTTTGAACCTCCCCACCTTTGCCTTCTCTCCTTCCCACCAGCTACCAGAGGTTCACTGACTGTTACAAGCGCTTTTACCAGCTGCAGCCTGAGATGACACAGCGAATCTATGACAAGTTCATGACTCAATTGCAGACGTCTGTCCGGGTGAGTGGCGAGAAGCCCAGCAGGTACTGTTGGCTCAGGTCCTGCCTCCATGCTGTCACCCCTTCTGTCCTCAGGCCCTATAACTATCCTTTGTGTGCATCAGGCTGCAGTGGCAATTGTCCCTCCCTTCAACAACGTGGGTGTCTTAAATGCCCCTTGTTCTGTATTGTAATTTTGTGTTTATACGTTGTCTGCCCGCCAGACCTGTGAGTTCAGCGAGGGCACAACTGGGTCATACTCCTCTGTGTCTTCAGCACCCAGTGCAGTGCTTGGCCCAAAGGAGGCCTTTCACAGATTGTCGGATCCAATAGAACTGTGTGTTAGAGGGAATACGAAAAAAGACAGTGTTCCCTTCACGATCTCTCTTGAGAATTAAACTGCCCTGCTGTTACACTGCAGGATGAGCCTCTTAAGCACCCAAGTGTGGAACCAGCAAGAATGTGGGGGTAACAGCAAGGCCTCTGGCGCCCGGATGATGGGCAGAAGGAAAGGCTTGATGCAAGCTCTTTTGAAAAATATTTTATTTTTGATTGCTTCAAGCTCTTTTTCCTTATTTTTAAAAAGATTTTATCTATATTTAGAGAGGGGAAGGGAGGGAGAAAGAGAGGGAGAGAAACACTGATGTGAGAGAGAAACACCAATTAGTTGCCTTTTGTATGCACCCTGACTAGGAATCGAACTGGCAACCTTTCACTTTGCTAGATAACAGCGAACCAACTGAGCCACACTTGTCAATGTACTGCAGGCTCTTTTTAAATGTTTCCCATTTTATCCTTTATTTTCTTCATGTGAAAGTCACATGTAGAGAAACTGGAATGTTTGTATAAAGGCACAATAGAATTTAGCCCAAATCTTACTAAGTGCTGTTAGCAGTTTAGCATATTTCCACTATAGGCTTGTCTAGTATTGTAGCTTTCCCCTCTCTTCAGGAGGAAATCTCTGACATCAAAGCAGAGGGGAACCTGGAGGCTGTCTTGAACGCTTTGGATACAATTGTGGAAGAAGGCAAAGACCGCAAGGAGCCCGCCTGGTGAGAAAGAACCACGGGAGGGCTCATGGAGGAACAGGAAGCATCTTAGGATCTTGAAGGAGCTTTTGTGATGGACCCATATGCACGAGACTCTGGGCTCACGGAGAGGACCTTGGGACAGGGACAGGTGGGGAGGACAGGCACCAGAGAGTAACCCAAAACAGTGAAATGCACAGCCCGCTCTGGGGAAAGAATCCCGGGGCAGGCGCATATTGTCCAGGGTTTGTGTTGGACCGAGAGAAACCTTCCTGGGGAGGGGTTTCAGGGTTTATCTAGCCTGTGGGAGGAAGGGTAGGGAGGGGCGTAGAAGGAGGCAGAATAGTATGCTTGGAGTCTTATGTTCATTAGGCTGGCCCAGACATCTGGTTTTCATTCATTTGTTCATTCAACAAATATTTAGGGAGCACGAACTGTACACCCAGTACTGTTTTACATGCCTGAGAGTTAACAGTGAACAAGACACAGAAGACCTGCTCCCTTGAGCTGGCATTTCAGTGGGAGCTCTGCCGCCTGGAGTATCCTGTGTAGGGGGGAGAGGAGGCCCTGAGACAAGAGGAGACTTGAGGCCACCAAGACCACAAGTGGCCTGAGCTCCTGGCACCCTCTTCCGCCTGAATAGGATGCTAGGGAGAGGGAATAAAAACAGTTTTTGTGCATTCTAATTTTTTTTTAATGCTTTGTGACCTTAATATTTATTTATTTATTTAAGAGAGGGAAGGGAGGGAGATAAAGAAACATCAATGTGCACTTGCTGGGGGTCATGGCCTGCAACCCAGGCATGTACCCTGACTTGGAATCGAACCTTCGATGCTTTGGTTTGCAGCCCGAGGTCAATCCACTGAGCTATGCCAGCTGGGACAATACTTAAAAAATTTAAGTTTTTAAACTGAAAAAGAAATTTTAAAAGAACCTACAGTGGCTTCTACCCTAGTGCTCGTCAGAACTGACCCATCTCCTCTCTGGACATTCAGAAGCCCCTATAATCTTGCCTCCCCAGACCTGTCTTTACTTATGCTTCCTTGTTAGCTCATACCAGGGCCTCCCCAGGTCTGGGCCCACTTTCAGGCAACCACTCCATCTGGGAGGACTCATCTTGCACCCCCACCCCCACACCTCTCCGGCTTGGTCAGTAGGACAGACGCAAAAGCTGAAAAGTCACCTCTTGCCCTGGAGTGTTAGAGATGGGGAGTGCATGTGGATGGGAGGAGAGTGTGAGTGCAGCTGGGAAGGCGAGGCTACTGGCAGAGTGAGAGGGGGGAGGCGGATTCCTGGGCACTAAAGCTGAGGGGCAGGAGGTTAGTGTTTTTATCAGGAGCATGAGCCATGCAGTTGGGTCTAAGGAGGTGAGAGGGACCCAAGGAGAGACCTTGAAAGCCAGTCCAACTTGAAATTGGAGGTGGGAAGATCACCAATTGGAGTTGCAAGTAGAGCTCTCACCCCACACTGTCCTCCGCCTCCCGTCCCATGCTCCCTGCCACCCTCCAGGCGCCCTAGTGGGATACCAGAGAAAGACCTGCGCAGCACCTTGGTGCCCTACTTCCTACAGCAGCGGGACGCCCTGCAGCGCTGTGTGCAGAAACAGGAGGCTGAGAACAGGCAGCTGGCAGACGCTGTCCTGGCTGGGCGCAGGCAGGTGGAGGAGCTGCAGCTGCAGGGCCAGGCCCAGTGGCAGGCCTGGCAGGTGAGTGCCTTGGCCCTGCCCTCAGCCCCCTGTTCCCCTGCTGCAGCTGGGCCAAGTGAGGTCAGAGGATGAGGGGGATGCTTTGGGGCTCTTACTGAAGATGGGTCCTACTCTGGAGAGGCCCAGGCTAGGTCGCCAAGGCACCCAGCCTGCCATAAGCAACTGCTAAGTGGAGCGGGGGGACTTCTGCACATGCCCTGCTGAGTTTGTGACATGAGCCACAGACCCATACCATTCTGGGGGAACCCAGCCTGGGGGCAAGGACAGTAGATGAAAAGGGAAAGGGTTTGGATTTCCTCCTCTCCGAATGTGTCTGTCTCTTCTCTCCCACTGATGGCAGGCTCTACACAGAGGACAGAAGGAACTGGTGGCCGTGCTGAGGGAGTCTGAGTAAGAGGAGGATGGCCAGGCCCAGGAGCAAAAGGTGGTCAAGGTCAAGGTCATCCTGTGGCAAGCAGCCCCTAGGAACAGCTGAAATGTTGCCCCACCCCTAAGCAGTGAAGGAATTTGCTGGGGGCCGATGTCTGAAAAGTCCCCACTGCCACTGTGCCTTGGGACTCCCTGGAGGTGTCATACACAACCTTCAGATTCCTTTCTGTTTCCTTATAACAAGGATTCTTGGCCAGGTCCCACCTGCGAATCAGTCACCATGCCTTCTCTCTTTTAGGTTCTGGCAAAACCTACCTCCATCCCACCCCACATACCCCTGCCCATTGCTGAGCCCTCCCTAGGACTTGGCTCAGGGAATCTGTTTTCAATCTCCACTGATTGCCATGTTCTCTCCACATCCGTAAATAAACTTCCTGCACTACACTGTAATCTGTGAGGATGCTTCCTCTGCCTGGGGCACTCGTGGGCCGAGACCCCTCCTGGCTCCTGAGTTCGGGCTCCTCGAGGCCTCTGCTGCAGCCCACTGAGAGACGCCAGTCTCGGCTGGGTCAACAGGCGTGTATCTGACCACCACGTGCAGAAGGATAATGAAGGCCCTCGACACAGAAACCAGGACCCCTGGGTTCCTTGAGACCAGGACAAGCTTTCAAGGGAGAAGAGCCTACTTCTCTTTGCCAGTTTGGGTTAATTCTGGGAGAGGGCCCATGGTGGGCCTCCATGCCTGCATCTGGTCAGTGCGTACACACAGCCCTTCACGTAGCTGGGCACTTAGTCCTTGGGTTTCACACCTCACTCGGCCAGCAGAGCAGCAGGAGGGGCCCAGCACCAGCGGGGTGGGTGCTTCTTCCAGATCACAAAGTGAAGAGGAGAGGGTGAGCAGGCCAGACTTTTTCCCTGGTGAGGGTCTCACCCCAACTCTGTGGAGAGTGGTAGGGGTGGGCCTGTCTGGGAGCACTGGGACACTCAGGGAGGTACCAGGTGGCCCCTGCTTGTACTTCGGCCCCAACCCCTAAATTGAGCCCATGGTCCTCTCTCTGGCCCTGGAGCCACAGCCCTCAACCTGCCCAACAGGGGAGTGGGGTCGTCCTCCCCTCTCCGGACTGATCTGAGGCAGAGGCAGAGCTCAGGTGTAGGATGGGGGTTTTCAGGCTGGATGTTCTGTTCCTTGGAGGACAGGTCCCCTGGGCTTTCCATACTGGGGAGGCTGCAAGGGCAGGGAGGGGCACGAGCCCAGAGGTGCTCTCCCTCTTCCTGCTCCTCAAGGCACAAGAGAGGGTGTCCCCACCACATTGACCGCCTGGTCTGCCCCCATGAAGGGCTGTCCTTAATCTCATGCCCAACCAGCCCTACTTGTGTTGGCTCTTGGCCCTTGGCCCTGTGCTGCCTGACTATTTCTCTTGTCCCGACACAGAGGGCCTGACCAGAGTTGAGCCAGCCCACACCAGGCCTGCCTCTGGTGTCTCGGGGGTGAATGAGGCCATCGCCAGGCACTCCTCCCTGGGGTTTGGCTCCTGCCCATGGCTGACAGTGGAAATCACAATCTGCAGAGCTGTAGCCCAGCTCTGCTCCAATCTATTTCGGACTCCTGGGCCCCTTCCTCTCTGGGTCCCCCCATGCCCCTCCTGGTCTGCTCAGCTGGTGCTTAAACTGAGGCTGAGATTGGGTCTCCAAGAGGGAGTAGGGGCTGGGGGACTGTGGGTGACTCCCTTAGGGAGGGGTAGGGGACATCCAGAGGCTAGCAGTCCCGGTTACCACCCCCCACCCTTCACTCCCAGGGCCTGCCTAGGCTGCCCCAGCTCCAACCACAACATCCTTTGGGGTTTGGCCTATAGATCTTGGGCGGATGACCCCCAAATAGCTCTGGCAGACTCCCCATGACCCACCCGCACCATGACCAGGCGTCCCCACCCTGGCCTCCGGGGCACAGCCCAGAGAGTATAAATGGTGCTGGAGGCTGATGGAAACAGCCCAGCAGAGTCCCAGGCAGCAGACCAAACGCAGACTCTGAGACGCACCATGAGGCCCCTCATGCTCCTCGCTCTCCTGGCCCTGGCTGCACTCTGCCTCGCTGCCCAGGCAGGTGAGTGTCCCTCTGCCCACCCCAGCCGGTGAGGAAGGGAGCACCAAGGCCTCGCTTCCCTTCACCCTGCCACTGGCAGTCCCTTTGGCTGTCTAACCACCCTCCCATAGCCTCAGTCCATTTGCCCCAATCCTGTCCTTGTGGAGGGAGAGGGGAAAGAGCAAGCTGCCAGAGCGGGAGGGGAGGAGGGGACCTAGGGGTGAGGAGGGGTGAACCCAGCTTCTTTACTTCACAGATGCAAAGCCCAGCGGTGCAGAGTCTGGCAGAGGTGCAGGTAGGAGGCAGGCCTGATGGGGACCGTTTGCCACACCACTCAGCTGCCCAGCACCCCCTCACCCGGGTCCCCTCGGTCCCATTCCCCCCACCCTGCTGGCGCCTGCCTGGCTGTCAGAAAGGCCAGCCTGCTTCCCACCTCATCCCCTCAAACTCACAGCCACCTGACCCCCGCCCCTGTGCTCCACAGCCTTCGTGTCCAAGCAGGAGGGCAGTGAGGTAGTGAAGAGACTCCGGCGCTACCTGGATCACGGGTTGGGGTGAGAGGAGAGAGATGCTGGGGGCGGGGGGGGGGGCAGGAGGGGCCCCCGTGAGGACTCCGGAGCCCTGCTCGAAGTGGGAGGGGAGGGGGCATTTTGTGTGGAGGCTGATGCCACTGTGTTGGGTTCTCAGAGCCCCAGCCCCCTACCCGGACCCTCTGGAGCCCAAGAGGGAGGTGTGTGAGCTCAACCCGGACTGTGACGAGCTAGCTGACCACATCGGCTTCCAGGAGGCCTACTTGCGCTTCTACGGCACTGCCTAGAGCTTGCACCCCTGCCGGCCTGCTGGCCCCCAACCCACTTCCCACCCTGGCTTCTCTCTATGACCCCTTCCCCTCCCCTCGCCCTGACCTCCCTGCCCTACAAGTGTGGGGTCACCATCTGCCCAGCTGCTCCAGAATAAAATCCAGAAGAGGAATTGGTGGGTTCCGACTCTTTGTCCATCTATGGAGTTGTGGGATGAAGGTTTACTGAGAGAACGGGGTGTGGCAAGTCCCAAAAAGTGCTTTCCAAAGTCTGATTTTTTTATTTGTACCTGCCTCAGAATCATTGAAGGTGGCTTTCTAAAGTCTAACCAGGGTTCCCCTCTGACCCAGCACCCTCCCCTCACCCTAGCCCACTGCACCATCCATGATGACACACCCAAATAGATCCAGACCCCAAAGGCCTGGGCACTCTGAGTACATGACTGTGGCCAGGACAGACTCATTGCTACAGGCAAGGAGAGCAGTAGGCACTGCCTGGTTTGGGAGGGGGACAGTAGTGGGCCTGCTGGCCTGGCTGACAAGCGTTCAGGGTAGGCCTAGGCTGGTCATGTTAGTTCTTCCTTGGCTGGGCAGAGACTTCCAGGAGCACCAGAAACAGGACCAGATGAAAGGGCCCCAACACCCACCCCCATCCCAGCCTCTGCTGGGTTGGGGGCTCTCCAGCCTGAACACAGTCACCTCCACTCTCAGACCTTCAGCACTTCCTCAAGCCCCATCAAGGGCACCCCCACAGACCCCCTGCTCTTTGCCAGCTCCACCAGCACCTCCCCCTCCTCTGCCTTTTATCCTTTGCACTCTCCCCTCAGTCCCTCTTGGTTCCAGGCTCCAATGTGCTCCCACTTTTTCAGCTCTGGGTCTGGGCTACTCCCCAACACCAAGGCCTGGCCTTTGCCTCCTTCCAGGGACAGGCTCAGTGATGAGGCCTCACTCACTGTTATTTGGCATTTGTATGCCCCTCCAGTGGGCCACCCTGCAGCAGGGGGCAAGCACTGGGGGCCCGGAATAGGGAGGCTGTGAAGGCAGCAATGATGAGCAGGTTCCCAGCCACTGCCAAGCCGAGTGTGGCCACTGTGCCTGCCAGGCCCAGGTGGGGGTCCTGCGTGGCCAGCCAGGCTCGGCGAGATCCCATATCAGTCAGCACCGCCTCCAGTTGGAAGTGGGTGCCCAGTACCGCACAAATGTGGAACAGCTGATGGCTGTGGCCTGTGGGGAAGGTGGGCGGTCACCATATATCCCCATTCCTAGGGCTGCCCCAATTCACCCTCTGACCCATGGCAAGTCACCCCACCCTCTGGACCTGCTACTATCCTAAAATTAGGAGTAAGAAAACCTGATTCTTGGAAGGAGTGAGTGAGCTGGTATACATAAAACATATGCCCTGGTGTACATGCTACTAGTTTTGCTGCTATCTGAGAAGTGTGAGTGGGCCTGGGCCCTGAGGACCCTCCAATCCTCCGGCTGTAATACGCCATTTACTCAGTTCACTCTGTGCTCTGGAAAGCTGTTCCCCCTTGCCCTTTCCAGGCCAGGCAGGCCTGCTCTCACCGATGTAGTCAAAGCGTCCCGGTGCCAGCCGCTCAGGCAGGTGAGAGGCGAAGAGAAAACCAGTGAGCAGTGCGCACAAGAGGTGGTAGCCATGGCTGGTGCTCAGTGCCTCCTGCCCACAGCTGTGGCCCCTGTCCCAGCACAGTCCCAGCTGGCAAAGGAAAAGCAGGGAGGAGCGGGAGGGGTTTGTCTGGGATCTAGTGAGAATGGGGGTGGGAGGGTGCACAGCCAGGATGGGTGCTGGGCCTGCAGGGAGGGTGGCAGGACTGGAAGGGGCACTGTGAGGCCCAGGACAGGAAAACAGGGGCCTGGGCAGGGGTCCCAGGCGCCCTTACCCGGTAGAAGAGTGGAAGGTTGTCAAACAGGAAGGGGTAGGCGAAGGCGCCCGTACGGAGGATCTTACTAAGCCCAGGGCTTTCCAGCTCAGGGAACCTGGGAGGCAGGAAGAAAAGCTGGTCACCATCTGGTGCTAGGGTGGGGGTCAGAGGAAAGCAGGGAGCCATTGACCAGGATGGAATGTCATTGTAGCTTAGTGACACATGACCCCTCTCTAAATGACCACATCTGCAAAATGGGGGTAAAGACATGGGCCTCTTAGGTGGCTGGGAGAATTAAAGGAGACAGTGTAGGTATGCTGCTAGCACACAGGCTCTGTCTGGCATACAGTCAGTCTCAATAAATGGTCCTGTTGCTCTTAGTGTTGTTCCAGAGACAAGCACAGGCACAGGACTGCTGGCCTCCCAAGTGTCAAGTGTGATTGTGGGCGCCCTGTTCTGTCCCTCCATCATCCCCTCCAACACAGGCCAAGAACACACCGCGAGTAGCAGGAGAGGCCAGTGCACAGGAAGGAATTGAGTGCGGCGGCAGGCACGAAGAGCCGGTGCAGGCGACTGTGCAGCCAGGAGGCCGGCATGGAGTAGGCAGCATAGGGGAAGGCGCAGCCTGAGGGGGCGGGGCAGGCGCTGAGGCCCGAAGGGCGTGCTTCGGGTGGAACACCCCACCCCTTTCCAGGGGCAAGTCCCACCCTCCCCTCTCCCGCCATGGCACCCGCTGTCCCGGCGTCCCCGCCTCCCGCGGGGCTCACCCAGGCTGTAGAGGCTGAGCGCGCCATAGTCCAGGAAGTAGCAGATGTGCCGCGCGCGGGGCGACATGGAGCTGAAGGTGTGCGCACAACACGAAGTGAAAGGGTACAGGCAGGCGGGCAGCAGGAAGACGAGCAGCGGCCAGTGGTAGGGCTCCGCCCAGAAGCCCGGGTCCCCCGCGAGCACCAGTAGGCGCCACAGGAAATACCTGCGGCGGTGGCACAGGCTCAGGGGGCCGCCGGGGGGGGGGGGGGGTAGGGGGTGTCTCGATTCCCGCCGCAGCTGGGGACAGCCTCCCTCACCAGGTGGGTAGAAAGTGAGTCCAGATGTTGACAGTCTCGTTGGTCATCTGGAAGGAACTGAGGACACAGTCCAAGGCCGAGCTGGTGGGACGGCGGTAGCCAGACATGATGCCGTCTTCCCAGAACACCTAGTGGTGGTGGGGTGGGGGGCGGGGGTCACTACGCTGGACTGTCTCTCTCCATGAGAGAGCTTTGGAAGCAGGATTAAAGAGAATGGGCTGGGGGTCGCAATGGCCCCAAAGCCAAAATAAATCTGACTCCCTCTTAGCACAGGTTCCAAAACCCCGAAAGCAGAAGAGAAACAGAAGTCAGCAGAAGGGGCGAAGACAGGGCACTCTGGAGAAGGGGACTGAAGGAGAATTCTGGGCCTAGGGAGTGGGGTCACAAGCCTGTCCTCAGAGAGTCACACTGGAATGGGAGAGAACAGAGTTGGCTTGCAGGAGGGACTTCCCCACTGCTAAAAGAGAAGAACCTCAGCCCCAGTGAGTCCCCTGGGGAGTAGGAGTTGGAGAGTGTAGCTCCTCACCCGGGGGACCTGGTGGACTCGAAGGAGCTGGGGTAGCTTGAGACTGAGCATGGTGGCTGGGCACCTCCACGTTGACCTAGAGGCAGAGTGGGGGTGTGGGAAATCAGGTGTCTGCCCCCACCCATCGACTCCTTTTCCCCAGGTCCAGGCTACACCTGGTCACTGAGCACCCCGGTGGGCTGTGCGTGCATGGGTGCTGGGGCAGCTGGTAGCTGGTCCCCCAGCTGCTTCCCTTAGGCCAGGGGAGGCTGGCCCAGCTTCCCTGACTGCTCGCGATCCTAGCCTGTGGGCATTCAGTTTCCCCACTGGGTGGCTGGTCAGCCTTAGCCCAGCAGAGTGGAGGGGCTTCCTCCCCAGTGGGAATGCTGCCTCAATTAGTAACCCCAGACTCTGGGCAGAGGTCCCCAACCCCCCAGTTCTGTCTTAAGAGAAGCCTAGCTCATAGAGGTCAGCGCACAGAGACCCCAAGCCCACCCACCACCAAAAGCCCTTGGCCCACGTCCAGATGTTGATAGATGTTGGCAGGCTGAGCACAGAAAACTCCTGGTCCTCCGAGGGAGAATTCCAGGAGGCCAGATGCCAGGGTCAAGGAATTAGGAAGATGCCTGACTCTTCTCTGGGGAGACACGTGCCCCTGGGGATGTTCAGGGTCCCTGGCCCTCCTGAGCCCCATGCCCCTCCACCCCAGACCTGTGTGCTGCCTCTGGGTGGCGGTGGCTCTGCCGCCCTCACCGGCCTCAGGCCCCCTCTCCCAGGCACATTCCTTGGCACCAGTGGTGGGGCTGGGCCTAGGCGGCTGGAACCACCTCAGGAAGGAGAACAGGACACCCCGCCATTTCCCAGGGCCAAACCTTCACAGCCTAGGCCCGTCCCTCTTCCTGCTACCAGCTTCCCTGATGTACAGTGGGCCTCACACCACCAGTCGGTCAGTCCCCAGTTTGGGGGCTCTGTGCTCCTGGACTGGGCTGGGCACTAGACAACCCTGGTCCCTAGTCCCTGCACCCTGGTTGAGCTGTAAGACAGCCTCAAAAGGAGCAGGATCAGGGTGGTCTGACCCAACCCAAGTGCTGCCCAGTAACCTGGGGCAGGGGTGGGAAAGATGCTGCTGCCTGCACTCTAGCTGCCCTCAGGGTCCCTTCACTTAGCACAGGGTTTAGAGGCCTGTGTAGTGTGTACTGTAGCCTTGGAGATGGGGGCGGTGGCAGCTGGAGCAGGTCCTAATTCCCCAGAATGGGTGGCAGAGCCCCAGGTGAGCTTCCTTACCCAGAGCTTGACTGGCGATCCTAAGCAGGTGGGTCAGCAGGCCTGGGGTCCTCCTGCCAGGCAGGCCAAGAAGAGGGAGAGGAGAGTGGCAGGCCAGCAGGCTGGGCCTGGGCGGGATCGGGAGACAAAGGGGAGCCAGGAACAATCCCAGCCTTGTGCAGCCTCCAGGGAACAGAGGAGGGTGGCCCAACCCCATTAGCAGGCAGCTCACTGGGCCTTCTGCACACAGCCGCCCCTCCAGCTGCCTCAAACCCACTGAGATCAGACTGGCCAGAATAGGCTGTGGCCCAGCCAGGATGCAGCTAGTGTGTTGCAAGCCCCCTTCAGAACACGCCCCACCACCATTCTGGTTCAACCAGGAGCTGACAGTGGGCTCTGCCACAGGCTAGGCAGAAATTTCTAAATCCTGGGTTTGGACTTCAGAAACTACCTCACAGTGCTTCACTGCCTCCTAGCACCTGGTACTTAGCAGTGTCCGGAGCAAATGCCTTTTGCAAGTATGTTGGTTCAAGCACAAGGGATTTGCCAAGCTTACCCTCCAGAGACACACTTGAGGTGCCAGTCCTTGCAGACATAGGGGTTAAGGCTTGTTTCAAGGCTTATCCCTTCCTCCCCCTTGAGGAAAAGTTTATCTGATTCAGAGGACCCAGCTGGAGACAGACAACTAGGCCCAGGAAGCACTGTGGCCTTCAAAATATTGGCTTTATTCATCACCCTTATGAAGGCACCAGCTCAGTTCACAAGATCAATGAACCTGACAATGTCCCAAAACCATCTCTGGAGCTTTCTCCTGGAATTGCCAACATCTTCCTCCAATGAGTCCACCTTAAAGAAACCTTTCCAAAATGCCATTTTTTGCATACCATCTCCAACATCTCAACAAAACTGTACAGAAAGGCACCAGGAGACAGGTGTGGGCACCAGGGATCTTTATTAAGTGATGCTTTAGTCTCTGTCAGAGATTGGGAGTGGGGTGACCCTACTCCCCACCCCAGGTTGTCTCGGACTTGCTCTCTTGGAGGAAGGAGGCAGGAACTTGCTCTCCTCAGAGAACAGCCTGGGAAGCTAGACTAGCATGGGGGTGAGGGACAGCAGAGCTGAAATTCCCCACCCTCCACCCCCTAGGGGTAGTGGCCAAGGCAATCCTGGCTAAAGCCACTTCCCACAGCCCCGCTCTGGCTGCTCCATTCACTGCTCCGAGCTATTCATGATCTCAGCTCACACAGTCACCTCCACACTCCAATACTAGCCCCATGCTCCACCCCACCAGGCCTTCAGGCCTGGGGAAGGACACAGTAGGAAGCCCATCAGGACAAGGACCCCTGACTAAGCAGCTTCAGGAGGCCTCTCCTTTCTCCAGTCGGGGGGTGCTGGCCTCAAACTGCACCCCCCCAACTGGTATCCCACTCTGCCCCAGCACAGCAGCCAAGAGCACAACGCACGGTGACTGCGGGTCTGGTGGGCACAGGAACCTTCACTGGCATAGAGGCCTGACCGCCGGCAGCCATTGGCGGGGCCTGCCCCCCACCCTGGAAGCTAGACAGAGGGAGACAGGAAGCAGAAGCAGGGCAACTGGGTGTGCAGCCCCCCTGTGTGAGGCAGCGTACAAGCCCGGGCCCTGTTACGAGTGCAGTCAGCTCCACACCACTCCTCTCTGAGTCCCCGAAGTTCCAGAGCTGCCCAGCCCGCTCAAGGGGAAATCAAACAGTGGGTGGTCTTTGAGAAGGGTCTGCAGAAAACCACTCAGATGGCTGTTACCCACTCTTCCCCCAGGGCTGGCAGGTCCAAACTCCTAGCCCCAACCACCCTGTGTCTTGGATAAGGAAGAAGGGCCTCTTCTGCCATCCCTTCCCCTTGGAGGTCCAGGAATCACTCCAATGAAACATAGACACCCATGCCTGCCACCCACCTCTAGGGACAGCAGGAGGGTTGAGGCAGAAAGGCTGTCTAGGGGCCCACAGGCCTCTCCTGCTCCAAGCACTTTCCTGACTTCGTCTTGGCAACAGGGGGACCCCACCCTCCCAACTGGCTCCTGGGCCCTCCCTCAGCTCCTGTGCAGCTGGGCTTCCTTTCTGAGTGCGTGCGTGAGTCTGCGTGTGGTGGGGTGACTACAGGTGGTCCTGGCAGCCAGGGAGGGCAGGAGAGATCTGGAGTCAGCCCCACTGCAGGGCTTGGGGGTCAGTCTCAACCAATCTCCTTCCACTGCTTGTAGAAGTCCAGAACATTCTTGATGTCCACACTGGCATGTGCAGCGGCCTGCAGGGCTGCCTGTAGAAGAGGGCAGGACAGATGGGCAAGAGTCCAATCTCCTGAACTACGTCACTGAGGGGCTGGATGAGCAAAGAGCAGCTGTCTGGGAGATCTGAGGAGGAGTCTATTCTGGTACCTCTTCCCCATTCCAGTCCCCTCACCTCACCCCGTAACCCACCTGCATAGGGCCTGAGAGCACGCTGGGGTTGTCCAGTGGAAAGCCTGTGATGATGGTCACCATGCCACTTGGGTCCTCCTCACCTGCCCCCTGGGCCAGAGTTAGCTGTTTGCAGCTGTCCAGGATCTTATAGAGAGTCCTGGTGAGGAGGAGAGGGAAGGCAGGCTAAGGCCCGGTATTAGCACAGCCTGAACACAGCATTTCCAGGGCACAGGGAAGCTAGGGAACAGGGAAGGGGACAGCAGGGAGCAAACGAAGGCAGGCAGCCGAGACAGCGGGTCCTCAACACTGACACTGGAGGCCGTGCTACAGGGAGTGGGCAAGGGCGCACGGAGGACACCACGACTGAGTATCTCAAGGCCCCAGGGACTCGGGTGCTGAAGCAGCTTCTTCCTCCAAGATGAGACTTGCAGGAGGCCCCAGGCTGGTCCCGCTACCTGTTTCCAAGTTCCTTGGCCCTGTCCTGCTCTCTCAGGGGGTGGCACAGAGAAGCGAGGCAGGAAGCCTATCTGAGGTTCTAGAGGTGGGGGCTGAAACTTTACCAGGCATCTGCATCCTGTCTCTTCAGCTTATGTCTCTCAAAGCTCTTCCCTACCTCTTTCTGGCAGCGAATGTACCTGCAAAGGACACAGGAGAGTGGAGGTGAGGGCGAAGGGAAGGCACTGCATACAAAGCAGACCATTGTGGCTCAGAGGCCCGGCTCTACAGCAGTGGGGGGGGGCCCATCTCTCCCATTGCAGGTCTACTGGGAGTCATGGCCGGTTTTGAAGTTTCCTGGCCGGCTGGCTTTTCTTCCTGATAACATCAATTCCTCGGTTCCTCCCAGGGGGAGGAGCTGGGAAGGGAGAGCAGCAGATGCTTTTCAAGCCAGGGCTTCTGGAGACAAGGTCCAAACAAGCAGGCTTTGTGCAGCTTCCTGGGCAGGCGAGGGCAGACGTGGAGGTGGGGTGGGGCACGAGGGGTGTCAGCTAGCAGGGAGGTCAGAGGGAAAGGCCTGTATGGGGCTGAGCACCGACGTGCTGCAGTCTGCTCATGGTGGCTTGGGCAGGAGGTGGGAAGCCCCAGGCAGCACCATGGAAAGCGCTCCCGCCCTAGCAAACCTGATCACCAGTCCTAACCCTAAAGCAGAAGAAACTCTAGCAAAGGCACCCACAGCCTGGAGCTGGGGGGGTCTGCTCCCCTCGCTCCGTGAGGCTGATTCCATGTTCGCCCCACTGGCAAGTGGACAGCAGGTAAGTGCTCCCCTGCAGGGCTCTTGGCTCCCCCCATCACCCTCTATTTCTGCACCTAAGACCTGGGCTTATTATTACGTCTTTGGGTTTCTTCCCCATCAATGAGCAAACTGGGAGCAGGGACTGCAACTGTGTGGCACAGGTAACAAGTGACACGTAAGCACTTGTCGTCTGGAAGCAGAGGTCTGGCAGGCTCGTACTCACTCACCTGTTTCCTTTTTTAAACTCTGCCTCTAGGTATCGAATCCCATCCCGGGCCCCTGGGTGTTCCTTCTTCAGCAAATCCAGGCCATCGATCACTAGTGGGCAAGGACAAAACAAGCACTCAGACTGCTGTGACATGGGGCTCTGCAGGGGGCGTCTGAGCCCCTCCGGCACACTGCAGGAAAAGGAGGGGACCATGGGTCTGACAGGGCCCCTGAAGTCTTTTCAAAATATGACCATCTGCCAGCCAGGCACCTGGCAGTTTACCACGTGCTTTCACTCACACATTCTCATACTTTTCCCGACCATGTCACGAGCCAGTGTTTACCAGGGGTTATCACACCCATTTCACAGATGAAATGACTGAAGTTCAGAAGTGGTAGGACTTGACCAAGGCCATTGTGTATAAACTGGACCCCAGGTAAGGCTCTCTCAATCCCAAGCACACAGTGTCTTTTAATCACACTTTATTTGTCCTCCCACCTCCCCAGTATGCTCACCTGTCCTTGGGATGATGACAATGAAGCGGCCACTGGTGGCCAGCTGGCGGATGATGGGGAGGTGTTGGCAGAGGGCCTGGGTGTCAGGGACGAGGTAGGGTGACATTGCTGACTGGGCCTTGGGCTGCTGTAGGCTCCCTTCCAGCTGAGAGACCTCGAGCTGGTGAGAGAAGGCAGAGTGGGTGGAGCTGTGTGGTGCCCGCAGCCTGGGCCGGGGTAGGGGTGGGGGCGTGGAGATGGTACTCCAAGGGGCTCTTAAGGGGTTCCTCTTAATGTCCCAGGGACAGGGGATTCCTTCAACCAATGGCCTTGAAAGAAAAGTAAACAGAATCCAAGGTTCGTAGAGAGGAAGAGAAGGGAAAGATAAGTGGAGGCAGCAAGAGGACACCAAGGCTCTGTGACAAATGGGCTTCAGGAGGGGGACCTGGGAAGCCAGGAAGGTATGCTGGGCAAAGTGGGGGGCCACAGGTGAGCAGGGGCGGGTGCTGAGCTGAAGGATGAGGGCCTGACAGAGGGCTTGAGGCGATAACAGGTCACGAGCAGGAGGAGGACCTGGGCTCTGGTTTCCGACCTGAAGTCGCAGCTGTGCCATGTCTCTCATCAGCCTGTTCCGCCGAGCTTCTTCCTGCGCCTGTGAGGGAAAAAACCAAGTGCTAAGCTTGGGAAGAGGGGCTGGGACCATACTCCTTTCTCCAGAGATCAAGACGACCA